ACTTTAAACGATGAGTAATAGAGTACAAGATGAATTCCTTATGACTCTTCACTCATCTAAAAAAGATCAAACATGTCCCTAAATCTCCGCCTTTCAACTTCCGCATCAGCAATCTGGGACTCGTTCTTCTCTTCAAGCAATAACGCCGCGGCTATGGATTTCATTATAATTATGTATCCACTTAAATTTTATTTTTAAATTACAGTGATGCTAGGTATATTTAGTTATTTTAAAATATTTACAAACTTTAACTTCATGTGCTGCTATAGTTTGGTGGCAAATATCTCTTTGTTTTGTTTCGATTTCACACATTCCTAGGCAAACAGCTAATTTCGAAAGATGTTTTCTGTCTTCCTCTTCTTCTTTCGTTTCGATCGTAACGCAGAATACCTAAGTTCGATTCCAGCGGAGCGGAATGCGGGAACGTAATCGAAATGCAGAATAGGGCTGAGTAATTTTAAAATGAAATGTATAGAATTCTTTGACTATTTAAACACTGAAAATGGGAATGATCTCATTATTGCTATTCAAAAAGTCACAAATATAAAATTATTTATAGGCTCCTGTGTACAATGATGTATACACTCATGTTAAAATGAATAACACTTTTACTTTTTATGAACTCTACTTTATTTAAATATTGTTAAAAACAAGAACTCAGGCGTTTTAAATTATTTTCTGTTACTTACATTCATAATTTTGCTTTGAATAAAAATGTACTGATTTTTTTAGCATGAAAAAGTCTAATGTACTGATTTCGCGCATAAAAAATCTGGCAACCCTAGATCGGCCTTATGATAGTGGTGTACATCCACATCACAAGTTTCGGTTTTGAACCCTAGTTTCTATTGAACATCGGTTTACAAGTATAATAAGCGATGTAGCCTCTTTCTTTACGTTTCTTCACGTTAAGTTTCCAGTTTAATTTAGTATCTAGAATTACTCTCAGCTATTTCTCATTGGTCGATAGGGGGATTGTCTTTCCGCCTATGGATGGAAGTCTAAATTCCGTTATCTTATTCCTATTAGTAAACAGTAACAACTAAGTTTTGCCTGGGTTTACGTTAAGGCCACTGCCTTTGGCCCACGTGTGTAGTCTAAATACCCAGTGCTTTTTCTACAAGTTCACTTACAGTAGAAAGAAAATGCCCTTTGACTGCTATCACTATATCGTCAGTATACTCTAACTCCTCCTCTTTGAGTTCTATGAGTATGCTGTTTCCGTGGGAAGAATACACCGCCCTGTTGAGTACCTCTACTCACAAAGCTAGTTATTAGACTATCTCCGATTTTCGCCTGAGTAATTCTGCTTTGCAGCATGGAGCGTACCCAACCAACCACAGCACCGTCAACACCAACCCCCATGAATGATTGGATGATGGTGTTAACATCAATGTTGTTGAAGGCGCCCGCTATATCCAGGAAAGCGGGTTGAGTGTATAGTTTGAAGTGCAGTGATTTATCTATGAACCCGTCTATTTCATGCAGACGATTTTCCTTTATGGATTCTTCTCACAAGAACGATCTTATATATAAATTTATTAATCTTTCCAGTGCTTTAGGAACAAAGGAAGTCAGGCTTAGAGGTCTAAAGCCTTTCGCTGTTTCGTGGTTCTTCCTACCAGGCTTTCGGATGGGCACTACTTTGGCACGTCTCCAGCTTTGGTGGACATAGTTCATACTAATACAGTATTACCATTCAGTACTTTCTCAGTAAGTATAACCGCTCGTTTAAGGCGAAGCAAAAAAAAACTTCGCCAATTGTATCTCTCCTTTGTGAAGAGTTATTCACTTCTGCACTTGGTCCTTCCAGTGTTCGTGGGCGCCATTGGTGTCGTTGATGTCGATTAAAAAGTTAGAAATTTTGGTAATATTTTTCAGAATTTTCATAATTTTTGCACAGTCCGAATTTGGATTTATGTATTGAGTGTCGAGGGCAGCGAGGTACCAAGCTGTTGTGCTCAAATGACACCTAACTTTAGGTATTACCGTTACGCTTTTCGTAAACTTTCCTATTAAAGCACTTTATAATGAATTCAAAATGAATCAAAATATTCAAATTTTATTTACGTGCCGAAAATTATAATTACGACGGTTTACATGGAGATAAGCGATTGTATATGGGCATAAATCCAATGAGCAGGCATTAAATTGCAATTAATATTATTGATTATCCAATATTAAATTCATTTTAAAAATGCATTGTCAAAGAACCATATAAATTACAAACCCTTTTTTCTGTATTTTATTTTTTTTTTAAATATCTACTTTACAAACTCGTTTTAGACCAATTTATGAGTATAAATATTTAGCAGATGAAATTTTGTGGCTTTACGGGTTTGAATTTCGTTTAACATTAATTCTTTTTTCTTTTATTTCTGCGGCTGAGCCAGCTAACCATCGTTACAAATACACAATACCTAATTTTTTTTTTCTCAGACGAATGCACGTAGCTACATAAATTTTGCCGAAGTGTAAATATGAATGCCTAATTTGTCCTTGGTCTGTGCAGAGGTTCAAGCAACTGGAAATATCGAAATGATTAGATTGTTTTTGTTTTAATTTGTTTGCAGAATGCTTTACGAGTGCATTTACGTGTTAGGCGAAATTAGACTAGAAAAGGCGCACAAAATATTATTAACTTGATCGTAGGACAACATCAAAAATTGCGAACGAATAGAGGTATGAATGTAGTAACGATACCATCTACAGCTGCATTTTTTTCTGTTTTATTTTTCCGTTAACGCCTTTATTGACTTTTGAGGTTGGTTTTAATTTTAATTGCTTTTAAATACGATTAATTTTTCGCAAGTGTTGCACAAACAAGTTGAAAATTCAACGAACTCATTAAGTCGACAAGTGCTTTCACTTTCAAGTTCATAAAAAATATGTAGGTGTCGCATGTGTAAATATATACATAAATCAATGAAAAAAAAAAAAAAAAACAACTATTATCTGTTAAAGCAAGAGCAAAGCCCCAATCATTATATGTATGTATGTATATACCCGAGCATATAGCTGCTTGCCAAATGTCAACGAATCCTGAATGAAACGAAAACCTAATTAAGAAAAATATTACAAATAAAAAATTATTTACATTTCATTAATTATTTTTTAATATACATAACATTTGACTGAGTTCGCATGCAACTTGTTTTAAAATTAATGCGAATTAGTTGCAGAGCGCTAAAAATTGCCAACGACATGGAAAAAGTTTTGTTTTGCTTGCTTTTCCATCGCGCTCCGCTTATTTTTGGTGCCGGTAAAACAGAAATCAAAGCCCGTTAAACGCATTCATAAAAAATTACAAGATTCACTACCTGCAAATGAGATGAAATTAATTATACGCAAATTTAGAAGCGAAACGAGAAATTGAGGTGTCACAAAAATTGTCGAATTTAGGCAAGTTTTTTTGTGCTTTGCGAATTAACACTTGCAGATTGAGGCAAACGTACTTAACCCTTGGCTAGGAATGTTAGGTGAAATGGTTTTGAATTTGGCAAGTCTCATCGACTAACAAAACCTGGCATACGTTTTTTTCACGATCTTAAGGTTTTCAACTGAAGTTTAGGATGTCTTAAATAGCAGAGGTTTCTATAGCACGCCTCCAAGATCCAATGCCCGATATTTAAATTTGACCATTCACCGATTTGATAAGATAACGTTGGTTAGGCTAGCGCGATAAATCCACTGAAGCCGGAGTAGGTGCTTAACCACATGGTAACCTGCGCTTAATTACTAGCCAAAATGACTTTGCAAATTTTAGGGCCAGTTTTTCAGTGCCCGGCTGTGGTTTAAACTTAGTTAAAACGCCCGAGCTGGCTGGTTTAAACTAAGATTAGCCAATCAAATGTCAGCCAGCTATTCAATTTAAACTCAGTTTACGTAATCTAAGTTTAAACTGCCACTGAAAACCTGGCCCTTAATGTCGAAATTCTCCCACAGCGCTCGCTATCGGAGTCCATACATTGCCACAGAAACACCTTAAACTTTCATCAGGCGCAATTGATCGGTGAGCTACAGCCCGCACATATTTTTTCGATCTTTTCATCTTATGGTTTTACTAGTCGCTAGTAATTTTATGTCAACTGGATTTTTACAAAACAAATAAAAAAAACAAATTTCACTACCATCATATTGCGCTGGACCGCAGGCTAAGGGTGCCGTGACTAACCAATCCGTCAGCTATATAATTCGGCTATATAATTTCAAGCAGTATCATTGTGTCCTGGAATCCAAAGCAGCTTGATTTGAAAGTAATCCAAGGCGACCGGGAGTGAAGTCAAGCATTCCTCGATCAGTTTCGATCGCACCATAAGCAACTCTAAGAAATTAGATTGCCGTTTGGCTGCCAGGGTAGATATTTACGCTTTTAATCGACGTTTCGCTGATACATAGCGTCGCCTGGGTAAAAGATTATCGTAAGCGTCATACGTACGTGCGTAACATACGACAATCTTTTACCCAGGCGACGATAGGCAGTCGACTATCTCCGCTTAAAATACGCCGCAAATATCCGAAAACTTCCGCGTTTTTTTGAATATCTACTGCAGTTCTCTTAAATTGTTGACCTCGCTTAATATCCACTTTTACCTTAAAATATAAAAAATTAAAAATTATATGGCATAATTGACACTGCCATTGCCTCTAAGGGTTAAAAAAATTACAACTTTATGCTCTGCTACCAATGAATGGTGGGGAGTTTTTGAGTGCTAATCGTGTGAGCGCCAGTTTAGGTAAGCAAAATTACTCGTGTGAAATTCTCAAAAACTAATTTTTTTGCAAATACAACTGAAGAATTTTGTTTTTAGAAACCCTGTTGTAGCTTTTTTGCATCCCTTTCGTTTGAAATGGTAAGTTTTTTTATGGGCTTATAAATAACAGGTTAGTTTCGTTTTTTATTTACTGTTGTTTTTTCCCGAATAGGACGAACCTTAAATTATTTACTCCCGTAAATATGAACTCGCACAAGTGCTCGCACAAGTTCTCGCACACTCACGTTTTATTCCAGGTATAAAAGCCTAAGCTGCATTGTTTGAAGGCTTTAGTAGACAAATCAAATAAACGCCGTGAGCAATATCCAAGTCAAACAAATCAAAAGGCAAACAAGCGAAATACACACTCACACGCGCATCCACATACAATGCAGGGATATTTGAAAATGGTGATTATTACAATACGAATCCGTTGTTCTCATGTCAGTGAATTGTGCTCATGCAACTTAATTTTATAGACGAGCTCTGTGCTGCTATTGCTCCTGTTAGTGTTGGTCGTGGAAATTAACTGTGGTGAGCGTAGTATCAGGCCGACAAGGACGATCAATGACAGCGAGGAGGAAGGCTTATACACGCCTGATTTAAGAGGCATTTATGTGGCCGGCAATGCTGGGCAATATGTGCCAGATAACACTGGTTATTATCACCCGACCGGCGAGGAAGGCAGGTGGTCGCCCGATGGTTTGGGTGTCTATCACGATGATCTGAAGTGGCGCTATGTGGCGGACAATAGTGGAGCATGGGTGCCAGACAACAACGGCAATTATGATTCATCGCAAGGTAATAAAAATTGCTAGTAGCACGAATATATTGTTGCTTAGTGGTTGTGGGGGAAAGTGTGCCAGAAAACCAGTGGCGTCTGATTTGAATTTGAAGGCAACTGATATCATTTAAAAATTTGATTGCTTTTGTATTCTATTTGATATTTTTAGAGGCACAAGGTGTCTACCATCCAGACGGTAGTGGCGTTTATCACGCGGATAATACAGGCGCCTATTCTGCGAAATACTACTGAGCAGTTTAATAACTTAGAAAGCAATCGAAATTGAATGCAATTGATATTTGAGACGTGTGAATGAACGACGTGGGAAATTTTCAAAAACAACAAAAAAAAATTTACGATAACTTATGACTGCCTTAAGTGAATTGAATAAATTGTGGCTCGTTTTATGCAAATATCATTTTGTATAATAACGAAAACAAAATCGTGTTTTTATGTTGCCTATCTGATACATTTTCATTGCTTTTTCCAGTTTGTAGCATTTTTTTTGTGCAAGAAAACTGCTTTTTTACTTTGTCATTGTTATTGTAGCGCATTAATATTTATTTCAACAGTGTTATTGAGCTTTATACCACGATTTTGTTTTTAATTTTCAGTACTAGATATCGCTAATCTCAATTTGTTTAGGATCAAATTTTAATTTCAAAACCTGTGTGTGATTAACTTTGGCGAACATCGAGCCAAAAAGAACACAACAGAATCCTATAGGGTGGTGTTTTCTCCTCACTTATGTAAGTCCTTCAGCGTATGCCCCGTTTCCAGAGGCTACGGTCAGCTCAGCTTGACGCTAACGACTAAGATATCAGCGGATTTAGACAGAGATAAGTTGCTACTACAACAAGCTTATACAACATATCTACTTACCTCGTGTTTCCTAATGAATACGTTTTGATTTCTTGTGTCCATTTCATATTTATAGAAAGATTTTATTATTTTTTCATTTTATTTTGACAAATGTTTTGAATCTTCATGTTTTGAATATTATGCATTATTTTTAAAGAGAGTTAAACAAAGATGTAATGGCGCAGCAATTTAATGAAGTTGAGTACATAAACTGGTAGATATGATCTCTCGAATGACTGGACTGTATTAACAAAAACTCTGAAGATAATAGAGTTTTGACACATATTCTGCGTTTAACTATAAAATTCTGTACTGATGAATTGAACAGCGGACTACACAATTTCAGGAGTTGATCGTTAATTCAAATAGTTCATGCTACCAGATGGAACTTCAGGCTTTTTCGCTGGGAACGGACGATGATTGGCTCCGTACAGCTGCGTGTCTGCATTTTGTGGTAGGTAGATAGATGTTTTTTTTTTTTATTAGTCGTGAATGATGTGCAAAACCGAAAAGTAAATAAAAGAAAAAGGTAAATTACATAATAATGCAGTTGATTGAAGAGCGAATGATAAAGCTAAATAAGTGTATGTACATATGTATGCAAATGGTATCTATGGTTTTTTTTTCAATTAACCGCCACGCATAGATAACAATGATTTATGTAAATTAGCGCTTGACGATACCGAATAGCAGCTATTAATTTCAAAACTAAAAAAAACGTACTGCAATTAAATATCATGAACCTTACGTAATGAAAACATGAAGTGTAGGAAGCCAACCAAGAGCAAAATAGGGAAATGAAGATAAAACTGAAAATGGTAGTAATCAGCGCACGCCTACGAAAACAATTAAAAAGTATCTACAGTCAAAATAATGAAAATGAAGCTGCTTAATTAAATGAAATTGTGTGACGTGCTGCTGTCCTGCCAGCGTTGCAGTCGTCGCCGCGGTTGTTTTCTATGTCCATGTGCACTTCAAGTTGTCTAGTCATCTCGAAAGCACACTTGGCAAGCCATTAAACGTAGCTGTTGTTTCATATAAATGAATTAAGGACGACGACGCTTCACGTGTATACGAAAATATGTTTAGTTGTTACGAACTTGATTTTGACGGCATAGGCAAGTAGCCTCTGCTTCCCTCCTCATTTGCTGCTAGCCACCACCTATTCCTTCTCAAAAGACTGCGTGAATGATTTTAGCCACGATGTGGTGGTGTTTGCCGCTGCCATAGTAACACTTGTGACGCCACCGATGGCTCCTACGCCTAAAGAACCACCACTTCCACTGGCCACATTGCTGGCAACGTCCGCGGAGGACGAGGCCACGCCTGTCAACTTACCCACTGGGGCATGATGGAGACGTGAACTTTTCGTCTTGAACGGCTTCCTGCGGACATCCATGCTGGATGACTCGCGGGTATCGACTTGCATGGAATCATCGTTTTCGGTGATTTGGGTCTTCAAAACTTTCTTCAAATTAATTATCTGCAAATAAAACAACAAGAAGAAGGTAAAACCAAAAGTGAGGAGTGTGAGTAAATGAAGCGCAAAAAAACAATAGAATTATTGGACTTGTTTGTGCGACTGAATGCATAATTCTATGTGGCGAGAGATTTGTTTACATAAACAAATTAAAATAAAACTAAAAGATTTGGCAAATAATTTCGGAAAAATATAAAAAATAATTTACATTGCAGACGCCGTGGAAATACACAACGCTAGGGGTTAAATATTCACGACGTTCGCGTAAAGCGAACAGTAATCTAAATTTGAGAGTTCACCGCCGATGACACGCGGGTCATGTGTTCAATGTGTGTGTGTGTGTGTGTGTGTGTTCGTTTTCTCACCTCTTGTTCAATATGCTCCTTGTTTTTCAAGCTCTTAGCCTTCTCAAAGTTGGCACGAGTTATTTGCACATCAATGCAATTGGAAATGGTGTTACACGAATCCACCCACTGTTGCAGAGTTTGAGCGATTTTGCTGGTATAGCCAGGGGGAATGTCACGTCCTTGCGCATAATCAATTTCCAGAAAACGATTGTTTTGGAAAAGTTTGCCATGTATAATATCTGTGGAAGAAAAGATAAAACCATTAGATTTATGCACATTGTAGGTATATGGAAAGAAATATGAAGGCTTTTAAGATGAGAGGTAAATTTATGTATGTGCATACATACATACATACATACATACATACATGTGTACAGAACATGAAAAAGCTGTGTTAATGAATTTAAAAATACACAACAACCAGCCTGCAGCTAAACTGCTGAAAATTCTTAGTCTCCTAGAGTAAGTGAACTAATCGGCTCACAAAGCAATTCTAACCCTGGCATTCAGTAAGCGGTCTCTAGTCACAAATAGTGACTTTTGGTGGTGAACTTGGATTTTGAGACTATTTGGTATTCAGTACCCTGTCTCACGTCTCTAGTCTCAAAAATAAGTCACTAATTTGTCAGCTGGCCAATAGCCGGCCACAAAAATAGAAGTATGGAGGAAAAGCTTATTTCTTTCCATTTAATTAAAAAAAAACGCGAAAATGAAGCGAGGAAATTTGTTCAACAAGAATTTCATTAGGAAATAAACCAATATGCTTTAATATCATACAAATGTATTGAAAAAAAATTAATTTTTTTGTTTTTAAAACATTAAAATCTTAAGATTGTTAAAAAAATAAAACTAATAAAAAAAATTAAACAATACTAATTACAAAATAAAAATAAAAAATCCTCTACGGCCGAGGAGGACTTGAACCCGGACCCTATCGGCTGCCAGCCTAATGCTTTGACAACTCGGTCATTGCGACTCTTTGAACGGCGCGGGCAAAAGGCATACATAAACACTATCAGTTGATTGTTTGTGTTTGCTTTCACCACACATTTTTGGTGAAGTTTTTGTGACTCTCTCCTTCTGAATACCCAAATCGTCTCAAGTCACTAATAGCTAATCTCAAATTTAGTGACTTGAGATGAGACTGAATTACTGAATCCCACGGTAAGAGTTCACACGAATTTTCACTTGCTATTTAACTCAAATGATGTATTTTCGTCGTTACTTTCTTCCTTGCACTCTTGCATGCGTAGGTATATGGGGTAGTGAGCCGTCCTTGTGTGGCGCAGCTGAGCTATCAATGACGATGTTGGAATTAGCATGCAGCAAATCGAATTTTAATTTACAAAGGCAATAATCGAAAACGAATGCAAAAGCGTGAGTAATCTCTGTGGGCATGTATTGGTGGATTATAGGAGCAGCAAATAGAGATGCACTACGCACATTTTACGTACGTATGCAGGCAAATAGTACACATGTGGAATTACAGTCGCAGGCGGAGAGATTTTGCACTCATCATAAAACAAATATCCGCTCTTGCGAGTGGATTTGAATGCCAACTAGAGTAGATGTACATCGTCATTAATCGTAAGTGCGGAAAATTGGGTTATTTGCATGAATCAAGTACCATGACTTGTTTTGCCACTAGTAACTCATTGCTAAATGCACTGTGATTAGTGCGATTTCATTGTGTAGTAGGTACATATTTGTGAATGAACAGCTACAATTACGCATACATAAGTACATATGTATGTATACAGAGACGCTATGGCTTTGGAATTCACGGATGTTTGTTTTAAGCCACCATAAGGAGGACTTTACTAGCATGTTAAATGCACAAATGACTGCCAAAATTTTGTGAGCGGTTTCTGTTTATTGGCGAGCGCCATCGCGTTGAATGGCGAATGTAAAAGTAGTAAAATACGCAATTTATTTGAGATAATTTTTTTAGTGGTTTCTTTTTCCGATAACGATTAAACGGTTACAATTGTGATCATAATGAAGAGACCGGAATAATGTTGCAAATTGTGATAAATTTACAAAAAAAAACCCCACTCAGAAAAAATCAACCACAAACTTGAAAAGGAAAAAGGAAAGTGATTTCTTTTTTAATATTAACAATCCCTTGGTTGATAATTTCAACAATGATTTGGTAATATTAACCATGCTTTCCTTTACACTACACCAATTTTTGTTTGATGACTTTTTCGTTTGAATCGTTTACTATGTTCTGCACTTCACAGATGCTTTTTCATAATTCGGAGACACAAAACAAAAACTTTTGTTATGACGGGATTCCTGACCTTCGGTTAGCAAATAACAGCAAGCATCTCTGCACATCCAGCTACAGTCGCTCTGTAAATTTGCCCTTTATTGCTGAACTAGAACCAATTTTCTTCGACATTTGATCGTTTTCGAACCCAGACCTTCGAAAGCCAACAAATAACAAGCAGCATCTCTGCACGTTCAGCTACAGGTAGACATACGAATGCGTTTTCAAATGTTCAACAAATGGCCAAAAACTGGGCTTAAAGTCTTATTTGAAGCTCAAGTATCAGCTCAGGAACAAGAAATTGCCGTTATGCCGAAATTAGAGTTAATTAAGTCCTGTCAAAGGTCAAAAAGCCTTTGATTAATTGCGCGGAAATTTCAGAATCATTTCCATGATTTTCCAGCATCACTTGCCAGATGCGCTTAAGCGATAAACCGGTTTTCTCTTATACTAATAACGAACGTCGCAGTAAATTATTTCGTAAATAAGTTTTCAAGATTTTTCGAACAAACATCAGTTAAACTAATTTTTCTAAATTTTAATTGATTATGCAAGAATAGTTAGAATATTTGTGTGGGAAATGTATGCCAGAGTGGAAATTGTTATACACAATGCGAGTAGTACTGTAAGCAATTATACAAACAAAATACTTAGGAGCTTGTCTATACCAGTGCAAGAACCAATTTGTGTAAAGTGTCCCTGTGACTCGTTATGACTACCATCAATTCCATAAAATATTTTGTTTTACGCAGCAAGCAGCAATTTAATTTCTCTCAGCTGTGGTAACAACATTCATTCATTTTCAATGCCTGACAAATCGTAAATAAATTTCTTGGAATGCCTTTTGATTGCAGCAGCTTATATGTACATGCATACATGCATCGTTCGTTTAGTTTATTAAATGGCCAAAATGTTGGTTTGCTATTTCATCCAGAGGAAGGTAGATTTACTCATGAACGTAAAAGAGCAGCTTGCATGCAAATGCTAGTTTAATGAAACATTTGGATATGCGTGTCTTAATTGATGAGGAGTTTTCAGAAAAAAAAACTTGCTAAGAGCTTTATGTCATAATTTCAGAAAAGTACATATGTAGTACTACATACAATAGCAAAACTTTCTAGGAAACCTTTCACAAGCCCATAGCAACATGTGTATTGAAATTTCAAAGAAGTACATAGTATGGCAGAATTACTACGCTTAGTTTCTTTTTGTTGAAGATTCCTCAGCTTTGTAGCTGCCGAATGCGTAGTAGAGGTGCGTATTAACATACATTAGAACCTAGGTTCAGATCAGAATCAAAAAAAGCTTTTTCCAAAAGCTGTCACCTCGGCAGGCAATGACAAACTGCCGAGTGTACCTGTGCCATACAAAAAAAATAAAAAATCAAAAAGAGTCAGCATAAAACTGTAGGTCCAAGGCGAGTTTATACAAGGTGATATCGGTTGGGAAAAAACAAAAATCACAACAATAAATTATACGCACAATGACGGCAAGAAGTACCCACTACAACTTAAAGAAATTTTCTTTACTCCTTGCAGAGCTTAGCAATAGTATTTCACTAGCAAACTGTGAAATCTGCTGAAGAATTAGCTAAAGTGGTACAATTACTTTCAGATTTCTGCAGAGTGCAAGTTCAAATTTATTTGCGCGCTGAGCAATTAAGAAATAAGCATGAGTGCTTGGCACGCAGTGTACAGTGAAATTTGATTCAGGGTGCACAAGTCTTTTGCACAAAATTTGCTAACTACATCTAGCAATGCATTAACAAAATATAAAATGCGGGTTTAGTCGCGGCATACACTCGGTTCCATTACTAACCAATAGAGGTATTTATTTTAATTCGTCGGTGTAATTTTCACAGCTGTGTAGAAGACTGCATACATTCTTATTTCACAATTACAGTGCACGTCACTTGAATAGCCCCCTCTTTTGATGCATAGCATTGACAGTTTTCCTCTTGTTTATTTAATAATCATTACTTTTTTATAAAACTGTAGCATATTCTATAACAAAAGTTATGTCAATCCTTGAGAGTCGGAAAATTTATAATAATTCAAGAAATTTTCATCAAAAATTTCTAACTTAAAAAAAAATTATTTTTAGTTTTGAGTATGCCGTTTTATAACCCGTTCAATTTTAGAGTAATAAAGTGCAAGTTTCAAGGAAAGCACAGATGACTTTTATACCGAGGTTGTTGCGCGGTTTATCTCTATATATATATATATATATATAACTAAGTTGCGTAAAATGTATGACCGCCCCAAACTCGAGAACGAATTGTCCGATTTAAGTAGACTTTTTTAGTTGTGTTTGTTTTTGCCCAATGAAAAAATGTTGTGGAGATAAAACCCCAAGAGGTGGCGCTGTGATCGAGTCATTATTAAAAACTGTATTTGTAGTCCGATCTCGGTCATATTTTAAATACCCTTGTGGTCAGCTGATTAAGTTAAGCGACATTTCTCGCTATATTGCAGTCTAACATTCTTGTCAAATTTTTTAAAGGTTTTTACAATTATTAGTTAATATCCGGTTGCAGTTTCGTTCGGGAAATTTTTCGTTTTAAATTTTACCAGTCTGATCAACTTTGCATTTGATTGCTGATAAGTTTTCTTTAATTTAAATTATAAAAAGTAATACTAGTTTGCTACCTCATATCAAAGTTTATTAAAATTTTACACAATTCTCGAAAAGATAATATTTTGGTGCTACTTAACCCCAGAATGCTAAAATGGTAAGAAGTCCAATATATATAGTTTTTTGTATATATCTTCGTTTTGTAGTTGTAAAAACAGCCATAAATTAAAAGAAAATATCTCTATTGCTTCTTAATTGTTGTTATTTTCACCTGGATTGGGTTACCCTGAAGTTTATCTGAAAAATTTCAAGTGGTAGCATAGTTATGGAACTGAGTGTATGTGTTAAGCATTGAATTAAAAAAAAAATATATATATATATAAAACTAAGAAC